CAAAGTGCTGGGATTACAGGTGTGAGCCACTGCGCCCAGCCTCAAATGTGTTTTTTTTAACTTACTACCTTAAGAAAAAACAAAATTCAGGCTCAATCCACAATAAATCTCCAATTAATCTGATATATAACCAAAACGTGTTCTCCTGACACAGCAAATGAATTTACTACCTAACTGTACCCAATCGATTATTATTATTATTATTATTTTTTTTTTTTTGGGGCCGGAGTTTCGCTCTTGTTACCCAGGCTGGAGTGCAATGGCGCGATCTCGGCTCACCACAACCTCCGCCTCCTGGGTTCAGGCAATTCTCCTGCCTCAGCCTCCTGAGTAGCTGGGATTACAGGCACGCGCCACCATGCCCAGCTAATTTTTTGTAGTTTTAGTAGAGACGGGCTTTCACCATGTTGACCAAGATGGTCTCGATCTCTTGACCTCGTGATCCACCCGCCTTGGCCTCCCAAAGTGCTGGGATTACAGGCTTGAGCCACCGCGCCCAGCCCCAATCGATTATTTAATTTGCTTTGCTTCTTCACACACCTTACAGAAGCCTTTTCTTCAACACCTTCTGGTAGTTCCAAAACCACAAACTATTGGGATGGTGGCTCATGTCTGTAATCCCAGCAGGCGGATCACTTGAGGTTGGGAGCTCCAGACCAGCCTGACCAACATGGAGAAACCCTAACTCTACTAAAAATACAAAATTAGCTGGGCATGGTGGCGCATGCCTCTAATCCCAGTTACTTGGGAGGCTGAGGCAGGAGTATTCCTTGAATCCAGGAGTTGAAAGTTGTGGTAAACTGGAATTACAGGCATGAGCCACTTCACCAAGCCAAGTTTTGTAGTTTGTGAAGTGAAACAAGTAGTTCTTGCCTCAACTGATTACTCTCCCCTGCAAACTTCAACCATTGTTCCTGCTCAGTCTTGCGAAAATTTCACCCCTAGACATTAGGTTTCCCAAGACCCCCACTCCTGTCACTGTGTAATTTATCTCACCCTCCCTCTGCTTAAAACCAATAACCCACACCCTTATGATCATGCCTGTTTGTTATAGATGACCCCTACCCTTGTGACCATGCATCTCATGATGCCCTTCCTTTCCCTAAAATAGATTACCACCTTTAACCAACCATTTGCCCCAACCTATATAACCAGCCCCCTTTCTTTTCTTTTCTTTTTTTTGTTAATAAAGATGAGGTTTCACCATGATGGCCAGGCTGGTCTTGAGCTCCTGACCTCAAGTGACCCACCCACCTCAGCCTCCCAAAGTGCTAGGATTACAGGCATGAACTACCGGGCCTGGATAACCAGCTCCCTTTCTTACTCCCCTTGCCTAACTCCTTTTTTGGACTTGGCCTGCTTGCACCCAAGTGTGAAATAAAACGGCCTCATTGTCCACACAAAGCCTGCCTGGTGGTCTCTTTATGGGAGTGAGGCACCTAACAGTGCTGCTGTATGTGAGTGCTGGCAAGGGGGCAGCATATTTGTCATAGGAGATTATGAGCTGACCAGATCCCTTTTGACAGCCCACAGGACAAGTGGGGGCTGGTGATGCATTGAATGATGCCCCCCAGAAAATGTGTTTGCACTGGCTTAATAAATATACAATGCAGAGGCCTGCATGAAGACACATGAACGGCATATGCAAACATCAGTTTGCAGCTGGGAAATAGGTGCCTCTCAGGCCCCACATTCTCCCCAGCAAGTGTGGAATGTGTCCATGCCCATGAGTGTATAGATCTGCCCTTCTTTTTTTTTTTTTTTTTTTTTTTTGAGGCGGAGTTTCGCTCTTGTTACCCAGGCTGGAGTGCAATGGCGCGATCTCGGCTCACCGCAACCTCCGCCTCCCGGGTTCAGGCAATTCTCCTGCCTCAGCCTCCTGAGTAGCTGGGACTACAGGCACGCGCCACCATGCCCAGCTAATTTTTTGTAGTTTAGTAGAGACAGGGTTTCACTGTGTCGACCAGGATGGTCTCGATCTCTTGACCTCGTGATCCACCCGCCTCGGCCTCCCAAAGTGCTGGGATTACAGGCGTGAGCCACCGCGCCCGGCAGATCTGTCCTTCTTAACTTGCACACAACTCCAGGTCAGTTCTGAGTGAATGATGTGTAGATGGGATTTCTCAGGTCATTTGTATGTTTCATATTATGGCTGCTGTTTTGCTGCCACTACCCCAAGTCCCAACCTGGTTCGAAGTTCAGGATTTAGGTGAAAAAGATGGAGGACTTTCTTGGGTTATGGAATGGGACGTCCGAGATCTGTGGTAGGGCTGGCAGTTTGGGTACCCTTGAGTTTTGTGGCAGGATGAGAGCGGCAGTGGTTTTAATTGTGATTGGCCTGGCCTGGTTGTAGCTCTGGGTGATGAAAAGGGAGTCAGCAGTGGTGGTCCCCCAGCATCCATGTGCCCAGGTCTGGCCTGCCTGCCCTCAGGCCCAGCAAAGCCACCACCACAGGCACAATTCCCTGAGAATAGCTGCTTCACACAGAATGTTTGAAGAGCCTTTCTAAGGTGAATACATTTGGCCAACATAATTCATGCTTATCCATTCCCAGCCCCCGCTGTCCCTGCCATTCCTAAAGGCCATCTGACGATATGGTCAGAAGTGGGGTACAACATGGTGAGAGAGGGGCTCAGGAATGGGATGAAGGTCTTTCCTGCATTATCAAAATGATTAAAAAGTTGCTAAAAAGGTGTCCAATTTTTTTTTTTTTTTACCCTCAAATAGCTGCTAAGATGTATTATACAAGCCGATCCAGGTAAGGGAAAGAGCAAGTGCATTTTAAGCCTCAGCTCGCTTCTTCATTAGCTGTAATTCCCTGGGAACATGACTCTGCCTGTTTGAGCCTGTTTCCCCTGTCCATAAAATGCACTAATACTGGGGAGGGTGGGGCGAGGAGGTGGGTCTTGAAGCTTTATCCAATCGCGGCGCAGGCGCGGGAACCGCCCCATTAGTCGCTCAATTGGAGAGGAGGGCGTGGCTTCCCGCCTTTGGCCTGGCCTTTGTCTCCGCTTTCGCCAGAGCTTGGGGTCCGTCTCCGCCGTTCTACGTCCTCCACCTCTGGAGCCTCCAGTGACTTTGTCACAGCCTCTGTTGCCCTGTAATCTGCAGGTCCCGGGAGAGGCACAGCTAAGATGCTAGGACATCCTGGAAGCTGGGAAACGGTGGGTGTGCGGGGTTGGGCATCCCGAGAGGGGAGAGCGGGCTGTGAAACCGCCTGGACCCGCCTCCCCACAGTCCGCTCTCCAGTGGCCGACCTGAGTCCGCGCCGGCGCAGCTCCGCCCCAGGCCCCTCTGGCAGCAAGATGGCGGCTGGGCCCGCAGCCGCGCGTCCCGCCTGTGCCTGCGCGGCGCCCTGTCTGGAGCTCTCCGGGCAGCTCTGCACCCGCGGCCGCCGGCATTTCCCAGATTGTTGACGGATGACAGGCGGGTCATCAGGGCAGAATTCCCACTCGGTGTGTGCGTGGGAGGGGCTGTGATTCGTAGGGTCTTCAGTCTTTCCTGATCATTCTTGTTTTTTTTGTGAGACGGAGTCTCACTCTTGTCGCCCAGGCTGGAGTGCAGTGGCGTGATCTTGGCTCACTGCCAACTCCGACTGCCAGGCTCAAGCGATTCTCGTGCCTCATCCTCCGGAATAGCTGGGATTACAGGCGCCCACCACTGCGCCCGGCTAATTTATTGTGTTTTTAGGTGAGACAGGGTTTCACCATGTTGGCCAGGCTGGCGAGGGTGGCGAGCGAGCGCCGAAAGTCCAGAAGCATGAGTATTTATTGTGTATAGGTTAGGGGGCAGAGCAGTGAGTGAAATCATCTTTAAGGATAGTGATAGGGTCGTGAGCAATAAAACATAGGGTCCACCCCCATTAGGTCACCTAGGCCAGGAGGTGGACAACGCGCACCAAGGGGCCCGTTCCCACGAAGGCAAGGGCCATGTGCAGTAAGGGGTCCACCCCCATTAGGTCACCGAGGCTTGAAGGTGGGCCGTGCGAAGTGAAGAGGGTGCAGTGTGCAATACTTCTATCTATGGGAAAACTACTAAGAAGATTTATAGGAGGATGCTTTAAGTCACATATCAGTGACAGAGCTGTCAAGGTTACCGCCACCTTCTGGCAGCTTCCTATGGATTCTATGGGAAGATGCTTTTCAAGCAGCACAGTAGCAAGAGCTGATAAAGTTCACAGTCACCAAGGTGGATTGCAGGTTCTGAGGGCAACCTTCCACAAGAACTGGAGCAAGGTCCTACAACTCCTTTATCAGGAGGAGTGGCTCTTGCCCCAAGCCTGCCATACAGCGGGTATCTTTACGATACTGAACGCTGCCGCCTGGGCCATGGATTCTTGTCCTGGTATAACTGTTTTCCCTTAAATCATGCTATGCACTGTATCTGCTGTAGGCATTCCTCCCATTATAAGCTGCTTATCTTTATTTCATGCTCTGTACTATGTCCACTCTAGGCATTCCTCCGATTATGAACTAAGATAGAATTATAGGTATATATGTAGGGAAATATTCTTTAGGCACTCATACTATCAACTATTAATGATTATATATAGAGGATTATATAAAGGAGGTTTCAAGCTCTATTTCTATAAACTAATATATGATTATGTAAAGGATTATATAAAAGGAAATAGCTGAGTAGTAACACTATAAAGTGAGATATTCCTCAAGCCCTAACTGTGCCAGGGTTCTGCTTAGTTCTCATTCCTCGGTGCCTATATGGAGGGTTACCCACAGGCTGGTTTTGAACTCTTTTTTTTTTTTATTTTTTTTATTTTTTTTTTTAATCGCATTTTAGGTTTTGGGGTACATGGTTTTGAACTCTTAACCTCAGGTGATCCACCTGCCTCGGCCTCCCAAAGTGTTGAGATTACAGGCATGAGCCACCGTGCCCCGCCATAAAGAAATTTCTGTACCGTCCTTTTAATATTTATTCATTGTGCCGGGCGCAGTGGCTCAAGCCTGTAATCCCGGCACTTTGGGAGGCCGAGGCGGGTGGATCACGAGGTCAAGAGATCGA